GCTCGTAGTTCCAAGACTGTAATTGGCCACTCCGCCTCCGAGGGAGACCGCCGCCAAGCTTGTGTCCAAGTCTGATTGTAAACTGTAAGTGTACCCCCGCCTCCTACTTTTGAGGCGTCTGTCATCAAGGATCGATTGCGTGGGATCGTTTAGAAAGTATCTGTCGTGGCTGGTGTTTTGTGAGCGCATAAACTTACTTCTCTAGCTTATTAAGGGCTGAGCTTGACAGACGTACTTTTGCATGCCATGGGCTGTGTTACTGTGCTTGTGTTGTGATTTTGGCCGGACGACGTAGGTCTACTAAGTAGAGGCGCGCTGTTGATACGACGAAGGTTGCGCACTGCACCAGCCCCAGATATCGATATGTGAATTTTCGATAAAGCCTGTGTTATAAAATTCTGGCCCTGATTGAAGCTACGAAAGGCGGGTACCTTCCCTACCGCCTTGAATTGCACCCTCCTGACAGCGCACCCAAAAAAAGGCGATGCAGATATCACCTCCCCCGCCGACTTCTGCCCTATCACGCTAACGCAAATAATCAGACGCATATTTGAGAAGTGTTTCCTCAAGCTGATTACTAGCCACCCCGGCTCTACTACCCACGCAACCCAAGCTGACTTCAAATCACGATACTCCTGCCATACCCAAGCACTCGCCGCCATGGAATCTGAAACACAGTCGGAAGAGGAGTGGAGCGACGCCTGTTTTGAGATTACCAAGGCATACGTCAAGGTTGCTCTCCCGCGCCTGTGGGTACTCTTGCGCCACGCTTGAATGCCCAAAACTGTATCAACTGCCTTACCGCGACATGCTCTCGCATCTATTTCATAGAACAAATGGCATCCTACAAGGCTCAATCGTTGGCCCGCAGCTCTTTATTATCTACATGGATTTTTTTTGGCTGTCACACTAGCACAATTCCGGCCCAAGCTCCCCCGCTTCTATTTATTTGTCGACGTCACACGGATCCAAGCCCCCCAACCGGTTCCGCTCCAGTTCTTTTTAGACGACATTGATGCCTGGGGACGCAAATCTGGCCTCAAACAAGGTGTCATCAAACCCCGAGTACGATCTACCAACTTGCGACACGTGGCGCCAACCCTCCATATAAAAGGTGAACTTATCACGCTTGCGTCACCTACCCCTGAAGATGGCTCCCACACATGTCAAGCCTAAACTCTCCAAATACCTGAGTTTCCCACTCTCCCACGGAATACCAGAGATAAATCTCGCCAGACATATGGAATCCCTGGTTACAGCATTGTCTCTGGGTATCGCCTCCTTCCGCGCTTATGGTTTCCATGGCTTCAGCTGGCGATATCCCCGCAATAGGCTGATGTTGTTCAAAACATTCATCTTATCCACGGCTACATATGGCCTGAACATTATTGCCTGGGCTCCACCTATATGGAAGGATGCGCTGGACCCCTTGCTTGAGCGCTATAACTCAGCACTCATTCGAGCAGCAGCCATCATCACGGGCACCAAATACCCTAGGTTCCCAAACATCAAACCAACTTACTCCATTTTTGTGGCCTGCTCCCCACGCGAGCATTGGCGGACTACCTCGGAAGTTGCCTGGGACTGCAACTCGACTCAATGGCCAGCGCAAACCCACTCACCCCTCTAACGCAACCCGCCTGGGCCCACGACAAACCCACACTGCGCTTCCCGTATAGTATCTATGCGTAGCCTTGTTCCCAAGCTAAGCGTATTCCGAGGAGGAGTACCATGGAATAAATGAAATTGCGATGTGTTATGATCAGTGGCTCCGGGCTCAACAACATTAGGTCGTCGGCATAGAGAATTACTTTGATACTCTTTTTTCCTACTAGTTGACTGAATACATCCATCAGTCAGTTGAAGTAGTATGGGCCAAATGTTGCCCTCTTGGGCAGGGTTAGATACTCGTATAGTTGACTGTTTGGCTGCGAATTTGCCACAATTTGGGATCGCGGACTTTGAGGGCAAAGAAACAATCCCGGAAATTCGTAATCATCATGTGATCGGTTGGTCTGGCTGTAGTGGCGAGTAATCCTGATCCCTTCATTTTGAACTTGGGGGTCGACGAGGAAGTATTGATTAGTGATGGAATGACTATTATGCGAGCTCGGTCCTCTGACTTTGTCGACAGTGCGAAATTGTCGTGTCGTTAACAGCGCGATCTCCGGTGATTTGACGCATGTATCCCGCCGCCTCTAGTCTGGCGGATTCCTTTATTGTGACCGCAACTTCGACCTCGTAAATGTCGATTAAATGTCACTGCTTGCTCGGTTTGGGAGGCCCACTTGGTCCCCACACGATTGGAATTTTATAGTGGATCCATTGTGTAATCTTGCGAGGGGCGCTTGTGCCCCATCAGGCGGAAAGCTTTGCCCTGACGGACTCAAATATAGGAGGTAGCGGCTACTGTTCAACAGGTGGGCCTAGACAGACTTCTGACATTTAATGTGTTTGGTAATTCTATTGTGTAGGTTGGAATCCTCGTGAGGACGACGTCATTGCTCGGGGATTCATTATAGTCATCTATCACAGATGCTGTGCTGTCAATCACAGAAATAAACGTTCCATTTCTCAAACGGATTCGTATTGGGTTTGAATGAATTAGAATTGTCTTTGTTCTGTACTGTCGTTGCATCCTCCACCTCTATCTCCACTACTTTTTCCACGGCTACGATCTCCGTTAGTAGTATTAGATTAACGAGACACTGGCTTATCTGAACTATAGTCACGTTTGTTGTCAAATTTACAATTGCTATTAGAAGTACCCCTGATAAGGGCAAACTCTTGCTTCTTTTGCAGTACGGCCTTAAATGCCTTTCGAGGTGACCTATTCGCTGATTATACCATGAGCTGAGCGGTACGACGAGAGTTGGTACCGCTGTGCTTTCCTTGACACGGATTCACTTGCTTTCACAAATGTGTACAATATCTGCGCATAGCCTCCTAAAAAGAACATATGCGATTAGCTCAAAAACGATTCCCTGAAGCGCTGACAGCTGCTCCTCGGGTGTAGTACAAGCTACCGGAAGTCGACGTTCTGATAGAAGAGTGAAGAAAACAGCTCAATTGGTTTGCCAGTAGAAACTGGCGTTTCGGGCGCTACTTTATTCTGAAACCACTGTGCGAAAGCGTGGTTGTTACTAACTGGGTGGGAGCTTCGATGATGTAATAAGCCGGGCCTCCACATTAGACTCTATGTTATAAACGTACTTTAAGCAGTACGTAAATTATAAACGTACTCTTAATAGTACGTAAGTTTCCTAAAATGGGTTTTAATGGTCTTATTAATTAATACCTTTTCCATTTTACATTTCAGATATTTGGACGAGGCCATTAAAAGACCTCAGTAAAATACGAAACATAAAGAGTTGGTCTAGTTCTATTAATAGAACTTTATTTACTTTCCAACTTTATTTATATCTGAATACTTCGGTAGCGAGGTGGCTCAACCGAATATAGGTCTCTAGGGACTATTAACGTTATCTAGTTGATCCTCCGATCAACCTGATGAAGGTTAAGTCGGTATTTCTTGATAAGTGGCATGTTATTGGTTAAGACAATAACTAAGGACTTCAAGGGTATTTTTTCTTTTCTTCTAAAGATAGGATTTTACGAGTCTCTCGGATTCGCCCCAATGAAACATACCATAGTTTCTAATAGAGCGACAACGAAACACTATATAAAATCCCTTCGGCGGAAACAGTACTGAGAGGATTATATATAGGCAATGTCTCAGCCTCACAATCCCTCAGAGTATTGCTGTTTTCACGAGGCATACCTAACTTTACTAAGACCGCTTTTGCCAACTTCGGAAAAATATACGAAAATACTGTCTAAAAAATTATGGCTCAGTATTTTTGTGTATTTCTTTTGGAATATAGGACATAAAAATTTCCGGAACATTTTGAAATATAGCGTCGGATGTATTTCAAATTGTGGATGAATATTCGCCGAGTGTTTCAATTGGAACAGTTGGCAAAAGCGCGAACAAACAAGAAATTATCCGTGAGTCGTCCCAAAATAAACAAAAGGATTTTATTGGACCTCATTTCCAATCTGATCCCATTTTTCGTGGTGAAATTTTGGCGTTTTCGAATACACGTCAGTTTGTTTGACACTATTGTAGAATATTTGTTTGTTGGTTTCGTACATGTACGCACAGCAACACCATAGCGCTCCGGCTGTTTATACATATCATCTTTGATACAATGGATAACCAGATGGATTTAAAAGTTACAACATGATTATATTGACGGTACTATAGCAACATTTGGAAATATTATGCAACCACCGGGTTCGGTCGAGGATGAGGATGATGTTGTAAATGTTAATTGCGATTCATTAAGCATACCTTCATCTTATAAACGAGCACACAAATCGCCTATAACGAAGCGGAAGATAGTGTCTAAATTCAGATCTGGTAAGAAGATCAAAGTATCTAAACTCAACAGGGACTAAAAGCCTGACCGCACCCACTCAGATAGGTATGTATATGTCTGCGCAAGTTTTCTAGAAGTACATGTTATATTGATTAAATTATCTCTAGTGCAGTGCTCATATATGTAAAACTGTTTATATTTAGAACATCGAACTGCCATTGCACTACCATAAAGGACTATTATGATATCTAAAACACACTATAACACATGATAGGCACCTGCTACTGGTCGAACCCCCTTAGTAGATCCAGGGAAGATAACAGTTGAGGAGTGGACACAATATCGAACTCTGCTTCGCAAGGATAAGCCGTCATCCGCGATGATTGACGCAATGAGAAAACTCTTTAAGGCGAACTCTTCATATCTGACGCTAGGAGGTAGAAGATCTAGACGCTGGAGTTATTTGCATAGACAATTTTGAGCAGGAGTATCATGATTTTTCAAAAGTACCGATTGGGACAGTGATATCAAGTCCAATGTGCAATCTTCTTCTCTTACAGTATTTGGTATATTTGAGCCATCCTGTGCCCCAATTACGCAGCTAAAGAAGGGCCAGAAGCGAGTGTTATTTCTTATTTTGGATGGTACCGGGGTGCCTTTAGTAGGCATAACAATATACTTTTTGTAGAGCGCCAGATTAATGTAGTATATTGCATTTCTTATCCCATTGAACACCTTCTGTGTACTCCGTCGAAATATTCGAGCCAAATACGCCTGTGTCATTTTTTGACCTGCGAAGGTGAGCCACATATATAGCATCTCGTGAACTCCTACATTAGCCCGTCCATCAGGTTTATATACTTTTTTAATCTCCATAGTAAATTTCTCAAACACAACGAGAGGCATTCTCAAACACTGTTTATGTACGCGGTGGTTTGAACTATTCATTTCGCTTTCAATATCCTCTAATCCACGAAAGTAATTCTCATTGTATACGTTGTCGCGGCGTCCACCTGGACCATATATTTGATAGATTTTTTCTATACAGTCACCTATTGCGTACATAGTGTTTTCTGTGTTGTTGATCATTATATTCGCAACTATAAATAAGCGAGCCATATGCTGCTTACTTACGTACAACTGGCATTCTTCGCACTCTTCATCGTAGCCTGTTTCCCCGCACATACTACCCAACAAAGCGTACAAGATGAAGTTATAATAGAACTGGAGAATACGTATACATAATTTATATACAAATAGAAGTGTCAAAAACTCAAAATACGCATGTGTTTTGTTGTATGCTTTTTCGCGCTCAAAAGCCAAAGAGTATTCCGAAATTAGAACGCTCTTTCTTCATTCATTTCTTTGTCAAAATGAAAAAGAGGGGTAACCCTCTTTTTCATTTTCAAAGAAATATACAACGAAATGAAATACGGCTTCAATATTTTTACGCCGTAAAATGCAAAATTTGGAATTGGCAAAAGCAGCGGAATTGACAATTTATGAAATATTGAAGTTTGAAATACCGAAAAATGAAATTCAAAATTTCTGCAATATTTTGAAATTATGAAGAAATTATGGACTCGCGTAAAAAATTATGGATTTAGTTACCGGAGTAAGTTGTTTTGCTCTTTGTGTATTTATCATCAGAATTTTCAAAAGATGGCAAAACCGGCCTAATAGTAAATGTCGTATTTCGTTTATTTACTTTGATATTTTCACGATACTTAGAATTTACCTACGCGTTTATTTATTCTAAGGCGTTAATATCGCCTTGAGGGACCGAATCTTACAATAATTCATCAACGACGTCGGGTGGGAATAGTCAGGTACCAAATAGCCTGTGTTTGCGAAAGCTCGCAAAGCATTCGCCTGTGTCCGTAGGGCTGTGGTAGTCGGGTCATGTACTAATAGTTCCAGTTGATTTGCCTGGACGCCAAGTTGATTCTGCAGGGCAGTGATAATTTCTTGCTGTTGTTGCAAGGCTTGATGTATGTCCTGGTCCGCCATATTGCGATGTGATCTGCCGGAGGGGTAGTAAAGTCTACTCTCACATTTGACGTGAGGAGAACAGATGAGACGAAGTCCCCCCCCCCCTCCCTGCCTTTTTTTTATAAAACTACTTTTCTTTCAGCCTTCAATTACAGACCCACAAAAGTGTGCTCTATTTTTTGAAACAGAATTTCATTTAGGATCCTTCGGGGGCCTCTTTAGGGCCTACAAATGGGGAAAAATCCTTCTGGACTGATTTAGCGTTCCTGACAAATTTCAAGTTCAAAAAAAAGAAATAGGGACTCTAGTCTCTAGTCACTCTACAGCTACGCTTTCGGTGATAAAAAAAAGTCCTACATACATGCGGACTTGTATTTTTCTAGATGGTCATAAAAAAGTAAAGTATTCAGAGGTTAGGGTTTACGAGTAAATAATGCAGTTTGGTTGGATAAAGGTTGCGCGCGCTTTCTTCCTGTGTGATCGACGGATTAGATAGATTTTCAGCCGGCATGTGTAAAATAATTGAAATAATAAATAGGTTTTTATATATGAATGTGTATGCTCGATTACTGCCATACTGGTGAATAGGATGCGTATTATCATCTTGTTGGCCTAGAATTCTATAGCATTCACAGCGTATATCGACTAACTTAGTGACATACTAATGTGAACCGTCGTATCAACGGAATACACCAAACTCTTCCTGCCAGATATAGCTATCACGCAACGGTCAAGGATAAATTCGCCTTCATTGCTAACCGAGGATGTTGACAACTATAAATGATGCCATGTGTTATGACGACGGTATTGACGACGATGACATGGCTCAACTGCTCGATGATCTCAGTCACAACAGTGAATTGACTTCTAGTAAAGGGGCCGAAGATAAGCAAACCTCTGGAAATAATGTTGACCAGAGCCCTTCTAGTGCACTAGAAAAGGTTGATTCCCCTACGGCGTCTATCGATGATTTGGATGACAAAGACGCTCAGTCTGATATTGATATGGACGAATTGGCTTTGTTGGAAGGATTAGGCGATACTGACTTGAATGGTAGCACTAGTATCCATAGCAACGATGAGGGGTTGAATGGTGTTGACGATGCGGAACGGGGCTCGGTGATTGCGTCCGAGGAAATACCAAATGTCGCGGTTCATGGTAATGAAACAGCGTCTGAAAGTTTAAAAGTTGATGATCTTGCCGCGCTTGCTAAAGTAGAATCGAGCAAATGTAGGCCCAGAAGCAAGCAACAGGGCTTACTCGATACCAAAGAGAGTGAGGGCGTGGATGATATGCCAGAGATTGAAGATAAGAAGCCCGAGCATATTTTTAAGGAAGACTTTGAGCGCATACGTGTGAATCATGAGAGAAAGGTGAAGAAATGTGAGGCAGAGATACGGTTGGTCAAAGATAAGCTGGCTGGATACCATGCGGACTTCATTGAACAGTGCAAGAACTATGGACAACCACTGCTGCGAGAGGGTGTGTCCGAGGCAGATAAGGCTGGTATGTACCATGTGCAGAGCTTCAATACATGTCGTATACAGGGAGATGGCGATCTATATAAACACACACACAAACGCACACAGGCAAACACCTGCCCCGTGGACATGTTTATAGGCGTCGACATTCATATATATTTATGTGCATGTACCTTTGAATGTTTTTATATCGTCAAATGTCTGTGAGTGATCTGTATGTTTCTAATCAATGGCGCTTTTAACAAAAGTGTCAGTAACACCAACTCCGACACAAGAATCACAACAAGATCGTTAAGTTCGGCTGCCAACACTATGCATGACCCATTTATAAAGTGTTCTGACTGGCAGAAGACAATGCGGACATACTTTGCTGCTGCGACTCGGCTGGGGCGGGTACTGCATTCCAAATATCTCGAGCAAACTCTCGTTTTGTTTACACCCAGGAGAGCAGTCGATCAACAGCAGTCGATCAACAGAACCGTATAGCGTTGAATTTAGTATTCAGAGATACCACGTACGCTGTGTAATATTGCGACATATTAGTATGATGTATCAAAGATGACCTAGTGACATGCATAGTGCCTTTCTATGTTTTTAACGCACCGAATGTCATTAGTAGTGCTTGCTTAATCGTGCGTAATGCATATCGCGACATGCGTCATGTCTGCTAGCGCGTGGGTTGGTCATCACCATATGCGTGTCTCATCATATATTTTGTGCTAGTCAATCCATTCTTATTTCTACTAGTAAGGGCGATGCTGTATTTCATGCATGCTGGGTGCTTTCTGTCATATCCCGTCACGGCACTTATAGCGATGGTGCGTAATAGTCTTTAAGAAAGTACCATTCTCCATCGTTATTGAGTATACAAATCGTTTGACTTTGTACAGCCCCTGTGGAAAAGCCGATAGTCAGATATACGGCTCCAACCAGCAACAACTTGTCTTTCAGTAAGAGTTCCCGTCGCAGCGCGATGACTCGCGATGAAGAGGAACGCGCAGCAAAAGAAAGGGCCGAATTACAGGCCGAGACCCGGAACAAAAGAGTCGAGACCGAGCTGTATACAGGCTTGAGTATCACGTAAGTTAAACTATACAAGATGTGATTCGATATGCTCTCGAATGTGATTACGGACTTCCATCTGCTCTTGTACCTGTATATCTGAAAAAAAAGTTGTGATAAGACATCCGACCGTCGTATGAGTTGCTTACCTACCTATTGCCACCGTCCGCATATCAGCCAGCGTCGGATCTCCGTAGAATGGCTCCAGAAGAACCTGAACAACAGGCAGGTCAAGCGCATCACCGGTCTAAGCAGATACTTCGCAGGCACTCGGCACGCCACGGAGGACTTTGTTGTAATGGGCGTGCTCGAACAGATGCGCACCACTAAAGATGTAGGTGCTGACTATTTGTAACAGTCCACTCCAAGCACATTGACCTTTCCTTTGACTCCAAACAAAGCCTGTGTACTGTGTGTTTAAACCCTGTTTTTGCTTCTGATTGTGTATTTGCAGGGTAATAAAGAGTTCTGGAGCTTAACGGACCTTAAGGGAGAGAGCCAAAGCTTCCTGCTCAAGATAGAGGTGGCCAAGGAGTTAAAGGCAGATGAGTTCAAAAGAGGGAGTTTAGTTGCCATTCTGAATCCAGCTGTCATGAAAAAAAGCGGAGTAAGTTGGGTGGGACAGTATCATTGTTTTATTCGGGCAGGCACGGTTATGCTCGTTAAATGAAAAAAAGGGGAGGAATTGCAGTAGATGTGTACACATACCCTAATCGGGGTTCACTTACAATTGTCACGGTTACCACAGGATTTCAAGTCGCAACTGGTGGTTGTCAATGAGAAAGATCAGATAATCAACATGGGGGACTGCCCGGATTTTGCGATTTGCAAATCTAAGAAGAAGGACGGAAAAAAATGTACCATGGCGGTCAACATATCGTATGTTGCCAACTTTCGAGTAATGTAGACACGAGCCACTCTTTATTCAGGTGATACCTTGAAGTGCTTGTTGTGTCGACGAACCGACGTTCGAGTGCTCATAACGTCGATCTAGTTATTCCGGAACAGTCTAGTTATTCCGGAACAGATTGATACGGCCTAATTATTACTATCTATCTTGTAGGAGGAGTGCCTACTGTAAATCTCATCTAACGACAGGGCTCAAGGAGAATTCGGCAAAACGAGCCCTTACAAATGCACAGTAAGTCCGGAACTTGCCTTTTTCCTCTTGAGCTTATTATGGTCGTTCACACCGTGTTTGCCATTCGATTCGCTGACATGAGGCTAGTGGATATACCGAGATAATTTTTGTTAAAGTCTAGCCTCGTATATGCATAATAGGCAAACAAATACACGTCTAGTCAACGTGAATACGGTAACCAAGACGATGAAATCCCTGACGAACGGAGTGCCTCAACAATCTGGGGCAGAAAAGCTCTCTGCCGTCGTGCAAGCATCGGAGAATGTGAGTTGATTTTTCAGAAACCCTCTGATATAGTACTCATGTCGAAATGTAAATAATAGATATTTGTTTATTGCACATCTCCGCTGTTTGAATCGGGCGATTGCATACATGCCAAAGCTCACCGACACACCTTATATACACCACCAGGCATCACTGAGCTACATCAAACCTAGGCAAACTACATCTGTGTCTGCTTCCAAAGGGTAAGTTTTTTTAATTTTCGAGCTTGATTATCAAATGCGGTAGAGAAAATTAGCGCGCAATAATGGTTCTCTTCAACTCACCAAATTCACTGAACTTATGGCCATTCTTGTTTTAGAATTGATTTGAATTCCTCCGCTGTCAATAAGCTACGAGGAGCGTCACAGTTCCAAAAAGGTGTGGGAATTATCATGCAATACAACTTTATACAGATTGCCTCGGCACGTGCTCTCTGCCTTGACGCGACCGTTCTTGCCAAAACATCGTTTACAGATATATTAAATTGTACAATTTTTGAAGCTGAATATACTTCATCTGCTCTGCATTACAGTCGGTGTAGTCAGAAACACACCCACATATGATCCAAGTCGTGATAGAGGTGATAAGAGGGCAGAAACAGCAAGCAAGAAGCTTCAAAAAGGCGGATTTATGCAATGCCCGGTGTCGGAGAAGAGTGGCCGTGATTTCCTGATCGAAGCGGAGCGTAAAAAGGCAGGCTATTGTGCTCACTATTTACTGGCCCAGAATATACGAACCGTGGTTCCACGATTGCTACCTGATCATTGTCGAAATTCGTGTAGTCCTTCACAACTATAGTCTTGTGTATACTTATATATTCCCAATTTGGTGTATTACAGATGCTGGCGAAGAGAACCGCTCTGATTAAGTCTAAGATTAAAGCCTTTGATCCCAACCAATGCCCGCCTGTGGACGAGGATGTACTTGCGGCGAATCTGAGGAGAATGTATGCATAAATGCAAGCTCACAAAGCACTTCATTCTCCAATTCTCGTTTTTGATTTTAAATGACGGATTTATTCACCCCCGTACGAACTCAAGCATTTTTAATATTTTCTAAATCATAGGGATGAGAAGGAGGCCGAAGCCAAAAGCTTGAATAAGCGGAAGAAGGACAGTGCTGATGAAGGTGTGTAAAGCCTTCGCGAGTCATATTGCAGATTGCATATAATAGGTATTATTTCTAAGTAAGCTATCCAAAGAGCCACAGGATACATGTTTCTAGTATATAATTGATTACTATTTCATTTATATTACGACAGCCAAACCACGTAAGAAAATATTAAGGAGGGGTTTAGAGGGCGAGTCGAAGCCTGCCGAAAAACCCAAATTTGGTCAACTGGCACGCGGCAAATTAGATGAACTCATCAAAAAGGAGGCGATCAATCAAAAGCTTCATGAACTGGTATAGTTGAATATATTTCTGTATCTTTGTTTTTATGTTTGTTTATATTGATTTGAGATCATTCGGTTCAATTGTATGATTTGCACTCGATAGGAATTGTATTGGGTTGAATTGGCTTGTATTTTTACATTTATCATGAGATTGTATCGAATTGGTTGTATTGGATTGAACAGTTTGGGATTGAGTTGATTCGAATTACATGGATTTGAATTGATTGATTCGAATTCGATTGTATTGAATTGAATTGTAATCAGAGGATCGAATTGAAATGCATTTCATGGTATTGGATATTGTATCAGATTATTTTGGATGGTTTTGATTCGGATTGAATTGATTTGATTTGAATTGATTTAGATTGTATCAAATATGATTGAAATGGAATGGGTTGTGTTGTATTTGATTGCACTAATTTGGATCAGCATTTGAGTTAGATTGTAATGAAGGGTGAATTTGAATCGAATTGAATTGAATCGAATCACACTGTATTGGTTTATATTGAATTAGGGTCTGATTGTACTAAATTGTACTGAATTTTATCGTATCAAATCGGATTGTATTGTATTGAGCTGGATCGGGCCGAATTGGATTAGATTTTATGCCTGCGTATACATTTACATGATTATATCTACATACTTGTACACTTTAGGCGATACTTTAAGAACCCCTATTTGCTTTGTACTACACAGGAGGAGAAAGAGTTAGAAAATGAAAGAGACGAGATTCTGATCAGAAAGGAGCAGATTTACGATGTGATGGCATCAACCAAGGAAAACACTCGAACCTGTCAGTACTGCGAGGATGTAAGCTAATTATTATGGTGGGCTATTGAGCGTTGAGATTTGTGGATTGATTGAAGATTCGATACATGCGCTTGTGCATGTAGTGGCTTTCGCTTTTTGTGGCTCGACATTTTCACATGTGACTAATGAAACTTCCGCATACCAGTGCGACATATACTTCTATACCAAAGAAGCCCTGTGTCTCCAAAAGGGCCACACATTCAAAGTGAAGAAAGACTGTGTGGTCCGATACTTCAAGTGTAATGGATGTAAGAAGAAGATCCAGACTATCAACAGAAAAATCCCGGATCGTTGCAAGTATGTATCATTTGTCGAAGATTGCAGGTTTTGTAAATGTTCGGAAGCTGCTCGATAAATAACTGTGTCAAATATTGCAACTTTCGGCTGCAACTTACAGTTGAGTGCTAAATTCAATAAATCTACTTACTTCCGCTACTGCAGACATTGCAGATGTACAAGCTTGACTAGGATGGGCATGATAGATGAAAAGAAAGTGAAGCCGGGAGAAGAATTCCTGGCTAGGTATGTTGCCATTCAATATGTATTTTCTAAGTCTGCGAACCGCTGTTTTGGTCTATCGGACATGACAAGGAAGACAGAATATTGATAATGCTGATCCACCTGCAATTTATTGAAATCACATACTACAGAGGAGAAGAACATGGCATCGTGCTCGGAAGCAAACCAGTGCCCGCCGGTGTAAATACGTAAGTTTTCTCGTTTGCCACGACTGAACATCACTGCCGATCCGTAAAGTGCAATCATATAGTGAGGCTCTAGGTCGTTTATCATAAATCTGCCCACCTGAGCTGTACAGATTTGCATTGCAATAGTTACAACTTTCTGTGAGATAACCACTCCACCTCTCTGATTTAATCCCTGTAGAAACGACCAACTGCGAAGTGTTCACGAATAAGAACAGACTTAGATGTTGCACACAGCGAGGAGCTGGATATTCTTCGTTCCAAGCTGATGAGCTCATTGCAGTGGAAATCCAATGCATTCGACAGATGATCCACAGTGCAACTATTGAGTACATCCTTCATGTTTAACATGATATACTGTGAAAAGTCAGATTCGCCGTTTGCAGTGATCGGGCCAGTGTGGCTTGTACTGTACATTCTGCTTTTGGACTGTAGACGTGTATGTTATCAGGGCAATAGCGGCTCTCGTGATGTGACCTCATGAAGTGTGTGCTTCCGCCAATAGTCAGAGGATTTCGACCTCGGAATGTCGTTGTGTAGGACAGTGTTAATTATCTGATGGAATATAATTAGACGTACGATGTTAGTAGACTGAGTTTACTGGAGATTTGAATGTAAATACGAGTCACCTACTACTACTTGTCCACAAGGCATACTAATAGTGTTTGGGATTTGTATATGTGAATGGTTCACTGGTATCTTGTAATCAGAAGGTTGCACATACATCGACGTGTGCACAACAGAATTACATACCTCACTTAGTGCAGCATCCAATTGCCTGGACCTGCTTAGCAAATCGATATCATTCTCGTCTAGTCCAAACGGGCCCTTATAATTAGAAATTATTATAACAGATAAGGAAAGTCAGTGATCCTTCGAGGAGTGTGTGTTCAGAGACATCGCAATGCCAGGCGATTGACACTCCCATATTGTTAGAAGTCAGAAACAACCCGAATTCTGGTCTAGCTGCCAGCACACACACCTCCACTTCTATTGCGATCTCCTCACATCCGTAGAATATCATGGCTACTAAGAAAGCCACGAATGGTGCCACCCACCGCAGATCATCCGCATACGACCAGGGTGCGATGGAAGTGTAGAGAAAGATCATGTGCTTCAGCAGTTGGGCGTACTGCATGGGATAATGAGCACATGTTGAGCTAATAAATTGGCGCGTAACGGTAAAGCTGAAATAAAATCAGAGTGATCGAATTGGATAAAAAATACTGAGTGCTGATTCAGAACATACCGAAAAAGGTATCGGCGTGAACGCCACCTTCAATATGGTTTGTAGATTTTCGCTGAGACGATTTACTTGATAATCAATGTCTTGTGCAAAGCGAACATCTAAGTCACCAGAGCGCTTGTGTTAAATGGAGGAAAAAAAATTGTGATCTTGGAATGAATATACATAAGTATACCTATACGATAAGCACATATGTATGGCTCACTATTATCGAAAACAATTGGCCCGTTTTCATGTTTATCGCTGGGCTAATTACCATTACATCAAACAGAGGCAGTAGTTATGAGTGATAGACATACCGTTAGATCTGCGGAAATCATCCTGATCCAAGTTAATACGATGAATGGTCTCGTCTTTGACGACGTCTCAGTCAATTCTTGGCTGTAAAAAGATAAATGGTTTACGTTATCACGAGCAAAACAGTTCGCGCTACATTTGTGACCATTAGCAGAATCAAACTACTGTATGTGTGATCGAGACCACGTACATTGCTTTATGTGAAATTAGGCATTTCTGAGAACATATTTGAATTTCAAGCACTATTTCATAATTTTTAAGAAAAATGGGTTCATGTATTGTATGGTGAAAAGGTCTACATGCTCTGTGTGTGACGGCACCTTTGATTCGTGCTCATATGGTTAAGAAATCACAATATACCTTCTACAACGGTTGTGGCGCTCCTCGAATGCCTGATGTTTATGGCACTCCGCTAGCTTCATGTGTTCGCCCTGCCTCAAGAATTAACCATGGTCACATAAAGTCAGATGATTACTTATCGGCTCACTCTACGTTTTCGTACATGTACGACAATGCTTATCTACCGTGAGAAGTGATCTCAACAACACACCTGCCAAGATAAGGGTACCATACATGGCCTTAGAAGGAGGGAGCTATTCTCGAGTCTCGAAACCCCCTAAAAAAACGTTTGCACAGTTACAGACCTACTTCGGTAATAAGCTCCAACTCGGCCAGGTCAAAATGACAATCATCTCCTTGCACATGCTTGTAGATCAGCGACAGAAATAAAACCAGATACTGATGGGTACGATCCATCGTGGCCTTCATATCCGCGGGGTTCTCGATGGTTGTGTAGGATAATAATTGCCCCGTGATACATCTAGCACCATCAGACAGGGCACCACATGACCGCACTCCAGTGTCCCATAGAGTAAAAGCAGAGGTCACACGAAACGCCAAGAGCAGGGTGAGTAGTAGACCGGTTTCGGTGATGATCTTAACGAACCCACTGGAGAAGTTGACCCCACGCTCGGCTGTTGGGAGCGAAGTTTTAATTCGTAAAAGTAGTTTTTTAAATACTAACGGATTCTAAGGTTATAGATCTATATACACAACAAACGCATACGTAAAGAATTAAGTGTACTTAAATATTGAAGCTGAGATGTTATTATATGCCACAAGAGCGAATGATATGTATCAGGAAATGGGACCCTAAGCCAAAATAATAGAGACAAGGCGGCACTTTAGAAGTAAGAAGAGGAAGCAGGGCATTGCCGTGAAAATATACCAGCGATAACGGCAATACAGGCTGAGACTGCGGCCAGGCATGACCTCCAAGCTACTCATAGCTTGATATATGATCCGCGTTTCTGCAAAAAATATGGATACAAATTATAGATACAATGATATACGACTAGAATTTTCATACGCGACCGCAAGTTTGGGGTGTGATATCATAGTTCGTGGACATTAGCTGAACGACTCGCGATTCTATCGGTATTTCTTTAGTATAACCATGGATGCGTGTATTCATGTGTAGGAGATTGCTTGTATTTGTTGAGTTGGATATGTATTTCTCCAAATACTATGACAGTTGTAATCTTTGTCATTGAATATTCGTGTAACATAGCAACGTGTATATCTCGATCCGCGTCGTTGACTCTCCTCGGTGTATTCTATATGATAACTCAAACTCACCTTTCTTGATGGCATATAAATGTATACTAAGCAAGCCTTCCATCGATACTATCTCAGTCATAGCCAGTGTAAGTTTAGCGCTACCAAGTATAGACCACGAAGGAGATATTGTCCATTGTACACACTAATAAGATATATTTTATTGAGCTTCCTAACACTACTGATGTACGCAATCATCACACACGCACACGCTGGATCAACAAACATCACATTGACTGCGCCTCAATCGATAACCAATGCGTCAAAGTTTTACATGCGGAGACTTTATGTTGAATTTATATAGACTGCAAACATGTGTATTACACACCTATCCCTCAGACCGTTGAATATAGAAAGTCGCACGTACGTGATATATCAGTGCATAGTGTAAAATTCTCCGAATAAGATTCAAACTAGATTAATGTCTCGTGTCCGAAGATGAACCCACATCTTCAATCCATCGTCGCCTTATTTGAATCAAATGTACACGCACGCAAAGGAATCAAGAAGTATATCGGCAAGCACACATTCTACTCACACTCAAGTACACACACTCATGTATGCCCACATACAAATGTATAAAATACGAAAATAACAAACACGTACGTGACTTATTAGTGGGCAGCACAGGTTTATCCGTATTTACCACTTGTCAAGCTTAGGATTATGTCTGACATTCGTCGTGCACAACCGCGATCATACACGCATACCACTATGACGTTTATTCAAAAGCGTAAGAACGCACAGAGTAAGGTGCACATCGGGATTTAGAAACCACAACCAGCATGTACACATGATATTCAACACATATACACATTCACTTACATCAATTGCACCTATGTGTATATACAAAGATGTGTGTAAATGATGGAAGTGATATTACGTGTACACATACAAACAAAGCCATAACTTACGAACCTGGTATAATATCCGCAAGTACTGCTGTGAATGGTAGTATATCATCGTAACAGCACAAAGAGACAGAATAAACTATATATTTACACCACAATGAAAGCCACTGTATTCAATAGTTTATCTCGCGTTTGTGACGAAAGTAGTAATAAATTAAATGAGGACGCGCACAAGGGTTATATTACTTTTCGAAGAAAATATTTCAAATCTTGTACTCTCTCGAGTATTCCCCAGCATTGTTAGCATCTCTTCATTTACGTGGGCGAGATAAATTTGGCGCTCAAAAAATTTGCAAGCTGACTGAGTGACCACTGACCAGTGACCACTGACTGACACGATAGAGATCAACCTGACTGTTCTGGGAGTTTTGCCCTAGACAGATTTTTTTTTAAATATATAAGGCATATGCACTTAGTGTCCACATATACAACCCACACGTTCACACACAGTAATATAAATATACATGTATGCATATAAGGTGCTATGTTAAGCAAAAAGATACAGTAACGTTCAAGAACCATGGTGCCTCCAGCAAATAACAACATCAAGGCTATTGAGTCGGCGCTGAACTCCATCAGGTGCTTTGTATTTTAACTGTACTTCAATTTTCCGATTTACCTGGCGAGTATTGTAGGTAGCTGTTCTGTACTGATACCACACGGGCTGCATTTAGATAGAATACTTCAAGAAACCGAAGCACACAGGGTTGTTCCCACATTAACTACAAGCGTTTTCAATGGTTTAGGTATTGTCAGTAGTTTTAAGTGACGAGCTCAACAACGGTGTTCCATGCACCGTCTGTTACAAATGCATGCTTTCCTTTGGGGAAAAATCTTTCACAAAAGCAATCAAATTCGCACAGAAAATTAACAATTATGGACGATAGTCTGTAACCATAGTCCTAAATATATACTACCAACCCACAACTGATCTCAGTCGACGAAACGTGCGGCTGTGTGTCAACAACAATAAAACCCGTCTTTGTTCTCTGGCGATTATGTCTCATATGTTAAAATATGCGTAACTATCGAACTCATGTACTATCTAGTATTCTTGCTTGCTATGTTGCTCGCAAATTAAGTCCTCTGAATTACCCTTGTCGCCCCCGATGTCTACTTATAATACATAAGGCGAGAAAAGGGTCGCTATCGAGCTCATGCACTGTTATTGCTACTCTTGATAGATGTGATAATAGTATATCAGCACACCGACGTCATATATATTATTCAACCACTAGCGAGAGTCAGAATATCGTGGTGGAGAACATCCACGACAGCATGAAGCCACCGGAGAAGGTGTTACATAAGAGGGCGGATGCAGTATTCGACACGCACCTTCCGACTGCAGGTTGTTGAGCTCTCTATATTGTGACTACATGTGTCTATAACGAGGTCTGTGTCATTATAAAGAGGTCTATGTCATTACAAGTCTGTAAAGTTACGTGTGTATAAAACGAATACTTCATCGTTACGTGGCCTCTGAAGCGTGAATCACCTACTTACGCGTGCCTCTAAAGAGGGTTGTATCATTACGTGTGCCTTTTAAGAGGTCTATATTGTTACGAACAAGGCTGTGCTTTTACGTTAGCCGTTTATTTAAGCTAGCTGTTCAAATTTATGTGAGATGGTCGATTCAGTGCTGGAGTGGAATACTCGTGATCTATTGACGAAAGTTGCTGCTCCGAATGCTTGCACATTTTCTTTCTATTGTGTGTAGTTGTTTGTGGTTATCATCCGAAGCTTATTGTAGGACTATAAAGTACAATCAAGTAGGTGGCAGTTGTGGACCACTTGTGGTATAAGTAGATAAAGGTTTAGAGAGTGAACAGACTTCACATACATTAACGGAAGCTCATAGAGAGTGTGACCGCAAATTCTTAGCCGTTTTGTTGAAGGCGAGGTATTGTCAACAATTCAAGGACTCTATGTATGTAGCATGCCTACTCGTGCGTTCGCAACGTACACTACCTTCAGATTTTCTCACATGATTACTGCTTCAAAAGTGTTCCTATTCTGATAGAGCAATGCTGAACATTCCTATAAATAACCAGCAATCTGAAAGTATAAAGCTATACAATGTCTATATTTGTCCAGCAATCTGACAGTACAAAGATATACAATATGTATATGTATAACCAATAGAGTGAGGTGTATCTGGCGGGTGGCAGATTTACAGGGCACTCGGAGGACACGATTGTATTATCAAAAGCTCATAATTATAGCGCCCTGAAAATAAAAAGTACTACGATATATCAAATAACCAGTAGGCGCCACGAGTGAAGTGTGCTCGACATGTGACAAATCCACAGAGCACTCCGAGCACGGAGCTGGCTTCACAAGCTGGTTCGACCTGCCCTTGCCCAAATGGATGCTGGCCGGATTCGTACAGAATATTTTGGTGGGGTGCATCGCATTCTGTTTGCCAGGTATTGGCTTGAGCGGTCATGTTATCCTATGGCGTGATATCGGCTACTGTCGGCGAATATTATAATGTGTATGATCGCCGCCTGTCTGCCAAGTGATAATATATAGCGGCGTTGCTAATTGAATCGATAACCAAGACCATTGAAGTACACGAAAGCGCTTAAATATCCCTGGCTTGCATTTGCTCATTCTTGATTCGGATCCAGTGAGAGGCACAGAGACCACCTGAATACTGTTAAAAAGTATCGCATACCAACTTCTGCTATGGCCACCGCTTGTACTTTAAGCTTTCGGATCCAGTACGAATCATAGAGATTACCCGAATGCAATTAAGAACACCTCCTTTCAGATTCTTTTATGACCCCAGCTTGCACTAAAAGGTATTGTGTGTTTCCACTTGCGAAGGGATGTTCAACGCCCTCCAAGGACTTGGAAAGGCTGGTGGCGATGATGAAACGATCGGGGCTGCCATGAATGCTATCTTGTATGCTTGTTTCACCCTGACTGGATTGTTTAGTGGATCGCTATTCAATCTTCTGGGTACGCAAGTTTTTTTTTAATGCCATTGTATCGCTGCATATAACTCACTAAACATAGCTCATCTACTAAGCCTTCCTGTGCATATTGTGTCACTTCTGCCATGTTTACAAGTTTGTCATTCAGCATAGAGTATAATATTTCAATAAGAAATTTTGGACAGCGTGAATATATCCGGCAGAAACTACATCCATCGTTCATATTTTTGTACTATTTTGATAGGCAACAAGATACTGATGGCATTCGGCGGGTCCACGTATGCAATGTACGCCATCGCTGTCTATTTGTGGGGACATGATGACAGCTTCGCACCGTTGGGATTAACAACAGCTGGTCTTCTGGGTGTCGGTGCAGGTTGCCTCTGTAAGTGCAGCCGTTCAATTTGTCAACTCGTGAGGAATTTCTCCGATAAAATGTCCTTAGTGAACAACTTCTAGTGAGTAGACTCGGAAGGAAATGAACAAACCATGGTTAATCGGATATTATTTGATAACATCAATACGTTGTATTTGCTGTGTCATCGGACCTGTCTGTAGGGACAGCACAAGGGGTGATGACGCTTACCTATTCCACGAAGGAGAAGAAGGGGCTTTTCACAGCCATCTTTTGGGCCATATTCAACCTGGGAGGAGTTTTTGGAGGCCTCTTGACCTTTGCAATCGGTAAAGAGTTCTTAGTGTTTCGGGTCTGCAAATGATCTGAGTAATTGTTGTTATCAATACAGTGACATGCAGGTAAATTCTAATCACAGTGCAGTTAGTGCGAGTCTGGTGTAGTCAATTGTGACACATCGGCAATGGAGATCGGGGTCAATTTTGCGAATTGGCTAATCAGGACTGATGGATACTACTGAAAATCTAAATGCCGAGAATATTCTGGGGTGTACTCAATTTTGTTTTATCGGCAATGCCGTAAACAAGGGATATAATGTTGAGGGCGCTGACAATTAAAGAGAAAATGATGGATGTTGCTGAATGTCTGAAAGCCGTGAATTGTTTGTCGCATACATTAGCGCCTGCATCTCTGCTCCCCACTGTGCGATTCTATAGCTGCCATTCTAAAGCAATCCCGAATGAAGTCTCGTGAAACATAAGCACAAAAAATGAATACGCATTTTGTTTTATCTATCAAAAACTATTGAAATGGCACATGGTATCGTTCAATCGGCGACACTGTCAAAAAAAATCAAAATAGTCACGATAGCTTCACTTCGAACATCAGAATGGCCTGCAGAGAACAGCAGTGCGACAGCCGACACGAATACTACCGAATCCGTTAATGAAATCAGCCCAGTGTCTTACTTCGTGCTCGTAGGCGTGATGTGTCTGGGAGTTCTGTGTGCTATGCTGCTACTTGTGCATCCCTCAAAAGTCACCAAATCGAACGGGGAGAAAGTACACATCGAGCCAGCCAAGCCCTTCCAGGAAGAGATCGCCGACACGTTTTCCTTACTGACAAATGCAAAAATGTGGTTGCTCTCGCTTCTCTTCGTGCAGTCCAATTGGTATGTGCTTCTAGTATCAATTTGATAGCTCTTTATTCATGATGCTTCTTTATTTATAATCCTGATCAGGCTGCTTGTGGCAAACCTGTCATACTTCCCTTCTGATATATACCAAACAACCAATCCCTTGTGGTAATTCACCTCACGAACTCATTCTGCTTCGCAGTCTTAATGATAAGTGGTATACCCAAAATCTCGCTTTTACTGTTTGATGGATCATCGATTACCGAGGATAGGACTTGTTCCGCGTGTTTACTAAGCCAGCACGAGCCATACCACAACTCACCCTTACAACAATTACTCATCGAATTTCTTTACAGGTATTACACATTCGAATTCAACGCGATCAATGGAAGGTATGTGGATGCTAAATCCTGTGATAATAGCTGTTGATAGGTACAGAGAAATCCAATATTCTGCTTTTGTACCTATTTCCTGGTGGTCGCGAACTTGGAATACAATTGCGATAGCTTTTATACAAACCGATGGTGAAGCGTTTAGAATACAATTTTTTTTTTCTCGATTTCCCTGAAATCAAACAAGTATCGTCTCTCTGACTTCTGTCGTGCATCCAACAGTCTTTTTCAACCAGCTTCACGTGGACTAAACTCAGCTATGTACTGGAGCATGCAGATGCTTGGATCAATTGTGACCGGTATGAATGATGATGGATAATAAGAAACCAATTTCGACCTTAAATTATGTATCTACAGTCGATGCTCGATAATTGCAACTTCAATTCTAAAACATTTCGCTCAATATCAATGGGCAACAGAAGACCGCGTTCCACTAGCGGAGTATCAAAATAAATGAAGATGTAAGCTCATTAATTGTGCGCTCTCATTATATTTACCACGATTCGCAGGTGCCATTATCCTGGATCGAGATTGGGGGTATGCGGTTCATTTTGATGGACCATTAGTTTCGAGTTCATAAACCAAAGTCTAAAATTGATCAATATCGGAGTTTTTAACTGAGGCGGTTCGCTATTGTGTACGATAGAGGTGATGGAACTACCGGCACTGGAGTACCAGAAATGAGCACGCTCATACACCACCCGCAACAATCATGCATGCGATTACAGGAGCATTCGGAACAGCGCTGTATTCGGGCTTGCATTCGTCGGCGTTGTCAATATAGTGCAATGGTCGCTTACCGCGTACTATCAGTTTGCGAACGGCTATGCTAGAGGAAACTTCCCAGAGTCCTTATTCAGGTAAGCATCAGAACGGGTACAGGATAGATTCTCCATATCGGATTCCTTTGATCACTTTCTTCAAAACGGACACGCACTAACACTCGAATTGCAACTCAGTATCACTACTGGAGGCAGCGACTACTGGGTGCCGGCGGCCCTTTTTGCTTTCATGGGGTTCGCTGACGCCTGTGTACAAACATACGCATACTGGTGAGTGTCGAAACTCCGTTTGACTGTATCTGGTCATTATTTTCCAACTTTGGCGTCCTTCTCCCACCTAATGTTTTGTAAATCTCATATTTACGGTTAATACACTCAATATTCAAAACAGGATCATTGGTTCCCTGTCGGATTCCACCAACATCACATCCCAATACTTCGGCTACTACAAGGCCGTTCAGTCGCTAGGAGCTGCCGTGGCTTGGGGTATTGAATTCGGTATGAAATTTTATCAGAACTCGTTTAAAGATCTTCGCTCGATAGATAGTCATATGCCGTTTCTTCAGATGAGTGCATTCATTATAGCAGATTCTCTTGACAACGATCATGATGACAAAAATTGCTAGCAGTGTGCCCGATGGGTACACATCGCCCTTAAGAGTCAAATCAGAAGCTTGGATGATTTCTGATTCAGGCTGGACAACGAAAATGCTCGTGGTGTGGTACCATCCCACAACCGCAAGCCTCACGCTGAACAGCTGACAAATTAATCGTTGCTACCACATTCGCTACGGAACGTATCCAGGAGGAGTCTCCTATGACGTCCAGATGGTGATATGCACGGTTTTGGCCGTGGTATGCCTGCCGCCAGCTTATGTGGTAGCCCTGCGCCTCACAGATTTACCAGCCGTTCCCACTGCTGCTGGTGACATCGTTAGGTTTCCCATTGATGATACACACAACGGGCTACAGCATGTTTTCTTGGACACTCTTGAAGACTAACTGCTTAGCTGCCTGTGAGAGTTACGTTGCATACTCTCTAGAAGTTTCGTGTGCACGATAAAGGACTACTGCTATACTCTGGCAGCCGAGACTTGCCAAAACATTGCTACACGTGGCACAGCTATAGATACGTAGAATTCGTCCAGGAATCTTTACTTGCGTACAACTGGTAAACAAACGTACTGAGCGCCATCCTGAGAAATTCGAAGCGCATATTCTTCATGCGTCTGCCTTCCATCGAATGAATGATATTAAACTATAGTAGTCATTCGAGCGGCCGGAGAAGGTGCCCAAAGAATTAACAGATGTAAATTAAATAGAGGCCACAACTTTACCTATCGATTATATTATCAAGCAATAGTGCCTCCGACGCAAAGTCCCACTTGTCTGCCTTCTTCTTGTAATCGTTCGAATTGAAGAGTATGCACTGAATGCTCCTGTTCCCGCGAAGGGCTGGGTCGCACACTTCGCGTACCGTATCATCACAGAATAACACGGTAGAGCCTTCGGGAAGCTGTAAGAGAACAAAAGGAAACAAATTGAGAATCTGCGAGGAAAACCAGAGGAGCAATATACCGGTATCGTAACACTAAAGACGCCTACATGAATTTATTCATTTAGAGTATCGAATGGGGCGATAAAAATAGAGGTACATAGCCCAAGCCCAATCGCAGAAACAAATCCAACGAAGTCGAAAATATTTACTCCCTGGATAGATTTCAAGATTTTAATCCAACGACAAGTAAAAGGTTCTTTAGAATTCTACCTGTGATATTTTCTTCTGAATGACATCAGCTTTTGTCAACTTCTCCTTATTTTGGCCTAAGCACACCACATTCTCCCCGGAGAATCCGAAGACAGCAAGAAAGGCCTGTATAGGATTATCGATATATGCAACGTTCAATTTGTTTTAAGAAAACTGCGCTTGTGAAAACCTTTCGATGGAAATTTGAGAATCATAGTGGCCTGTAAAGTATGTGGTACTGACATACCCGGATGTGTTCGATATGTTTGATATTCTGCTTTGTCACTACCCAAACACTTGAATGTGTCAGAAGAATCTTCCCCAAGTATTTGTCAATCCCATGTTTGTTCTCGTTAGGTATCTGCCCTCCTCTCGAGCTAGCTAGTGTCTGGTCGAAATCTAGGAATACCATAGACGGCTAGTGCCAGAAATTTGGAGTAAGTTTAAAAGTGATTTCGCGCTGCATATCAATTTTTTTTAAAGTTCAATTGCACGCGAGCTCAAAGTCAGAGGCGAACCATGGTGTCACTTCATAATCACCGCGTAGTGGGTTGACTAGTACTGTCTACTTTGACTAGTAAAGTCTGTACTCTAGGGTCACAAACACAGACATCAATAATAGCTACAAAATATTCTGGCAGTTCCAATTTATAGGGGAGCATTATTTACCTTCATTTCTTTGACAAAATACTCTACATCTGATCCATTTCCTCGAATGATTTGACACTCCGGGCACGACTCTCTCTCACAGGAGAAACATCGCCGGGTGTGTGGGCAAATGGTGCGCGGATTGTTCTTCTCGAAGGGGCACCTTCCTTCCGACCGAAAATCATCCTGGCACTTCCAACATACCTTGGAATGAATCCATGCCTGATTTCGAGCCAAAACCAAGTATATAATGTATATTGAGTAATGACCTCATGGACGGAGGTCGATGTAGCGATTTAACCGTAGTCAGAACTTATCGCATTCTTTCAGTATTCTACAAATTAAATAAAACTACACGAGAGACCGCGTATTATTTACCTTGCCAAAGAACCCCTTACAGACACGGCAATCATGGCGCTTGCCCTCTACAGTACAACTTGTGGGAGGCCAGCCTTCCTCTTTGATGGTATCTCTCATGCGCTGATTGTGAGTATCCACAACCTGCTGGAAGTGCACCATCATCTCGTTCGTGTGGAAATGCTCAGGTATATGCCACACACACTCATCCCCGGCGACAAACATGCGCTTGTGAGTTTTAGTGGGGTATCTGATGAAGAATTAGGTAATAATTGGGTCCAGATTTTGGGTTCGAAATTGATTTACGCAGTGCTTAAAAAAAAAGTTAAGCACCATCTCGAAATGAATAAGACCTTACCTGGAGACACATCTGAAAAGAATATCACAAAAAGATTTGCATTTAATATTTTCCGTAAGTATGAAATGCGGTGGTTCAGGTATATGCCAGTACAGAGAGAATAGTCTTCCAGTACTGCACATAGTAGAGCGAGAGGGTACACAGTACATATATTGCAACAGTTGTCACCTCACCTTGGTATAGTGCAGATCTTCTTTGTGAATTTTCGGACGTCTTTCAGGATATGTATGCAGCCTCTGAGCACACACAACTGTTGATGCAGATAGATGGACTTCTTTACTTCGGCATCAGTGCCCGATCCTCTTTCTTTGTGATACAGCGCCAGAATTTGTCGAAGCTCCACCTCCAGATTCTCGCCGCGAATTTGCATATGCTGTATGACCTATGTATAACAAACATGTTTCACCGTTGAGTATTCGATGATAGTTCCCCCCGAAATGAACTTTCTTTTCTACCACATACAGACGATGCGTAAGGGGTAACTTCTGACCTAAAGGCTCAGCAAGTTCAAAAAATGGGCTGTAAGCAGTAGTCACGAGATCTGGTCGGATATGGCTCCCTTGTTTCCAGAGATCGAAAGTATAAACTTGCGCACGGTAGAATATTCGCTTCGTGGTTCAGTTCCTGATTATGGACGGATGACTACAACCATACACCTGATACTACTTCATCTATGAATAAAAACTGATTGTATGGTAATTTAAAGTGAAGTACCTTGAGCAAGTGGATTGTTCTGGCCTCGTCCCGATGAAGCTATGATCTACAGAGCGGCGTATACTGTAGTGCATTAGGCGAATACAATCAACATGTTCATGCTACTTTACCTGATAGCTTTCGATGCCTTATTCATAAAAAGGTTATATATATATATATATATATATATATATATATATATATATGTAANTGTATAGTATATATTATATATATATACTACTTATTAGTATATAGTATATGTTA